GCGCCCCCCCCCCAGGGGGCCTATATAAAGGAGGGGAGGGAGGGCAGCCGCACCTGAAGTCCTGGTGCCTCCCTCTCCCCTGCTACACCTCTCCCTCTCGCAGAAACTCGGCAAAGCCCTGCTGCGATCACTGCTGCATCCGCCACCACGCCGTCGTGCTGCTGGATCTTCATCAACCTCTCCTTCCCCCTTGCTGGATCAAGAAGGAGAAAACGTCATCCGCTCCGTACGTGTGTTGAACGCGGAGGTGCCGTCCGTTCGGCACTTGGTCATCGGTGATTTGGATCACGGCGAGTACGACTCCATCATCCCCGTTCTCTTGAACGCTTCCGCTCGCGATCTACAAGGGTATATAGATGCACTCTTCTCTCGTTGCTAGTTGACTCCATAGATTGATCTTGGTGAAACGTAGGAAATTTTTTTGTTTACTGCTACGATCCCCAACAATGTGCATGTTTGAGTCAAGTTGAGTGACTGCATTTCCATATTTTCGAAGTTCTAGCATCAAATTGAACATCCAGTGCAAGTTCTATAATTGGCCGTGATATTACCTCTGTGAACTATCTATGAATCGTCTTTTTTATCTATTTTTAATCTATGCATATGTTTCTTTTATATTTGTTCGGAGTGCATATGTTGTTTGTGCGAGAGCGTTTTTTTTGCAGCGGCTGCTAGAGCGGCTCACGCGCCCTAAAATTTGCAGCGGCCGCTGGAGCAAACGCAGCCCACCGCGCAAAAATAGACGCTCCGCGAGCTGTAAACGTGTTGGAGATGCTCTAAGGAATCATCCTTTTCTGAGTCCGGACTCGTCTGCACCCGTGTTGAATAAAAAATCAAAACAAATACTAGAATTTTTTAAAAATTCCAAAAAATTTCTCATAGTAGACAATTTGGTGCGTGAAGTCTGGCCCAATTTTCAAATAATTTGGACAACTGAGCAACTCTCGGCAAGAAAGACAAATTCAGGGTATGTAAAAAAGTTTACTGTTCACGTACTGTTTGACTCGATTTTGTCTTTTTGCTGAGAGTTATTCATATGTCCAAATAAGCTAATTTTTGGAGCGAACCTTACGCAATAAATTGTCTACCATGGGAAAAAGAACTGGATTTTTTTTTGAATATTTCTAGTATTTTTTTATTTTATTTTTCTGATCGGGTGCAGATGAGCTGGCACCGAATCGCTGTTCACTTCTTATTGTAATATCAGCATATAGATTATCTTTTGCCAGGGCCGGCTCCCTTGACTTGCTTCTTAGTAGATGTTCAAGAGGAAGTAGTTTGCAAAAGCAGGCAAGAAAACCAAATTCAAGTTGGCCAAGATTACAATTTGGGCTAGCATGGTATTAGGACCGATTTTCTTGATTTTATCACTCATTATGGGCATGCGTTCAGAGAATACAAACAGGGATTTACAAACAAAAAAGAAGACAAAAAAGAATTCATTGTCACTTTCTTTTCTGTTGTGTGAAAGATAAAAGTCTTTACGCGAGAGCAATAGAGGATGGGATACATCTATCTCTTCTAAGCAACCTCTTCTGAATTCTTAAGACCATTCTTGCAGTCGGATACCATGCTCAAGAGGAAATAGTGTTGGGAACCAGCAGTACACAGGGATAAAACAAAAGTGGAAGAATGTCACTATTATTCAGTCTCCTTGAACGAACCAAGCTGATAATAACAGCAGTGGCCGAGTCATATTTACACAGGAATCCGAGCATTATGTACACAAGGCAGCAAGCAAACGCAGACGAAGCAACTGAGCAAAGCCATAAATAAACTTTAAACAAGTGGCTGTATATTTACAGTTGAGGTTTTTTTTCTCCCTTCATTTCAGCAGCCATGACTAGGCAGGATCAGGAAGGCGTTATTGCTTCAACGAGCAGTGGCAGCAGTGTCAGGCAGCATCGCCACCGTCACCACGAAGTACTCGCGGCCTGCCGGCAGGCCATAGGGGTTGCTGTTCAGCGCGGACCGCCGATGGCCGCCAGGGCGCGGCGAGGCTTCGTTCTGGTCGGTGTGCTTTACCGCGCGCCGCTCAATGTGCACGATCTGGCCGATTATGTAGGCGGGCTGCCGAGGAAGGTGGGGCTCCGTGAACAGGGCCACCGACTCCTCGGAGAGGTAGTAGTTCGACCGGCTCCGGTTGATCGCCTCGTAGTGCCCAGCAGGGTTCCGGACAAACACCGCAAGCTCGTGGACGTCGAAATGCCCAACCGATATCTTCTCCTTGCTGGCCTGTTGAAACAGTTTTGAAGCACACGCTACACCTTACTTGCTCGTTACCGCAAATTAACAGTACAAGAGATTAACTCATACAAATTCAGTCAGGTCTAACTTTATAATAGATTTCAAATCCACAGCATGCCTGTTAATACTCACTCATGTTCACGAGTCATGTTATGTCATTACTTTTGGGTAGTTCATTATTTTACCAAATTCAAGGTTTGTCTGATTTTTTATGAGTATCTTACCAACGAAAATATTCACATTCTATGATTAGAGAAGCTGAATTCCGTACCTGTTTTTCCAGTTGAAATTTACTATATAGATTGTTGACCAGTGTTTTCTTCTCCTCCAACTCTTTTATAAGAATCCCATGTGCTGCTTCCACCCTTGAGTAGCGTTCTATCAGCTCCTCACTCTGCCGTGACAGGAAACTAACCTTGTCCGCAAGGATCTTAATGCATTGCTGGAACTGAGTGGTAGAATCAGCTTCATCCTTCTTTACAGAACTGGAACAAAACAAGCCATTACAAAGGGGCCAGCAAGTACAGAACAACACTTAGATATCTCTTTCAGTAGGAAAAGGATCAAAGCCAAGGACATTAAAAACAAACATATCTCTAGGTTAGTAACTAGTAATATAAAAATTGGCAAAAATAACTAATTCTCTGGAGGCACTGACTATGATTTTAACACCAGATTCTAAAATACGATGTGCTTGACATTATCCCTCCGACAATTCATTTTCTCCCTAGGAGCAGATACACTTTTGTAATGAAATACTCAAATCCTTTGGCCAAGAACAGCAAATGTCTCTTTAGTCTCACATCAAGACACTAACACAAAATACAACAATCTGCACCTGCTTCCAATAAATGATTTACATTCAGTTGGATTATTCATTAGTTCTAAAGAAAGCCCAATCATCATGCATTGCTGATAAATCAGATATGTGTACCACAATGAGCTTGAAATGATACACACTGAGCAGTCAGTATACATATAACTTGACACAAATTAACGCAAATGAGAGAAACATGATACCTTGCTAAGGAGAGGGCTAAAGTTCGCAGAGAGTCTGCAAAGCCAGACATGCCCGGTGCGGTGACACAATTATTTAGTCTTTCAAACAGACCATGTATCCTCAGAGCAGATGACCTCAAAGCATCATACTCAACAGCCCTTCTATCAGCGGAACATTTGTTGGTACGAGCCTCTTCCCTTGCCTCATGCAAGCAGTTTTCCAGGTGCGCACAATTAATCTGTATCAAGATTTATAAAATACAAAATAAGTAATGTTGCTTTATGTAAGCATGGAAGGAATACTTCAATTTGCAGAAAGCAGGTGAAGATTAATCTGTATATCTTACCTGAGACTCGTCAAGTAGAACACGAGCATTTTCAAGTTCTTCCTTAAGAGAGTTAACTTCGCCCATCACAGAGCTAAGTTTACTTTCTGCCTCATCCAACTGTTTTGATTTTTTATCTATTGTGTTTTGCAACTCTGACACAAAGAGCTCGTTATTCCTAAACTCCAAAGTATGATGTTCATTGGTTTTGGAGTTTAAGATGCCAAGAGGACCTTCTACAGGAATATCCGAAGTATCCACCATAGTGAGGTGAGTCAACATCTGCCCTTCCTTATCAATATTGACAACCTTATGTTCATTATCACGTGAAAATTCTGCCATGGGAGCATCCAGATTACCGCATCCTGCTGAGTTAAGTAATTGCAAGTTCAGTGCGCCTGAAACGTCAGTCATATTCTCATCACCACCTTCTGTTTGTTTAGATGGCTGTTCAGATGTTGATGATGTCTCATCCATGGCCACACTTGATTCGTCACGCAGATGGGTTTGCCTACCTCCATCCAGGTTGCAGTCATTACCTTTGAATGTAGAAAGAAGGAAATCTGATGCGCTTTTGCTTCCTGAAACCATTTGCCCGTGTATGTACTGATTCGCTAATTGTTCCTCAAGCTCCTGTATACGCTTTTCAAAGGACAAGCACTGCTCCTGCTTTGCTTTCAACACTGACTGAAGCTGGTTGGCATATTCATCCTTCGCGGAAAGTGCCTGAGCTGTTTTCTCTCTTGCATTTCTCAACACATTATCATTCTGCCCTTCATCAATAGATTCATGTGCGTATTCAGCACCAAAAGTGCAGAGAACTGCAATTGCAGAAGCGAGCTCTGCTTTTAATCTGGCGTTCTCCACTTCTAATACACTAGTCCCTGTTATATCAACAGTATCACAGCCCCCAAAAAAATCCTGGGAATCCATTTGGCCATCAGTATTCAGACTGTTTTGTTCGGCGTTAGTGAAATTTCCAGTGGTACTAGAATCACTTGATGAAGACTTATGTTGCTGTGACCTCTCAGGTTTCGAAAGAGACCCCACTAAAGACCGGGGGGCGAGCTTTTCCAGATCATCAACATCAATTGGAAGTAGATCGCAATCAAACGGTGCAATGTTTACATCACACTGGCTAGGTGAACCAAACAGCCCCATGGAACCCATGATTTCTCCTCGAATGTACTTACGCCATGTACGAAGGAAAACCTCGCGTCTCCTTATCTCCACTTCACGCTCTGCTGCTAGTTTTTCAGCAAGCTGTCCAGCCAAGCCAGTATACAGCTTGAAAGAATGCCTTCTTCGCACGACCTCGGCAAGACAAGCCTTGTATGCATGGCCCAAGCCACCCAGTAGTTTCAGATAAGAAAATTCTTTGTCTCGACTATCTATTGCCTCTTCGTATAAAATGAACTGACTCATCATCATGTCCTTGATATCAATTTGAGCAGATTTGACCCCTTTCACGCAAACATGTACTAGAGTATTTGTTTCGTTTTTCTTGGTCTTGCATTTCTGAAGCAAGTTTGTAAGCATGCGATCAAACTTACGTACGCTGGGCAAATTATCCTTTTCATGTACCTCATAGATACGACCAACTGCTGAAACTGCATCATGAGGTCGGACAGAAGCGGACAGCTGGCTCCTTGAGCATTCATCAACAAGCTTCTTTGATGTATCCACGTCTTTACTGCAGAACATAAGAGTTCTCAGAATATAGTGTGAAAGAATCATGTTTCAATTATGGCACAAAAGATGGATAATAAATATAGTAGTTACCAGATTAATTAAGACTCAGGATAAGAAACTGTTGTGTGGTAGTGGTACCATAAGTTCATAGCATATAAAGACCAGATAACATATCCCAATAAACTGTTATCCCTTCATTCAGATAAGTGCCGATCTCGCTTGTTACACTGTTAACATATTACTAATGCAAATCATAAGAACTTAGAAACTTTTTGGTAGAACCAACATATTTTCTACACAATAAAATGGCAATCCATTGTTTACTCCACCATGCAAAACCATTTTCCAGCGTTTTGTAAGTAGTTTAATTACCAGCAACTCAAATTCAAGCCAATCTACATGGTAGTCAACTAGTCATTAACTCAAGGTCAGTAATAGTTCTCCTGAAGTACGCACAGAAAAGCAACAACTAGTTAAATATATGGTCATTGCTTCAGTCTAACCTTAGAGACTGCATGATGCTCTTCTGGTCACCGATGACTCTATGATGCTCCTTTATCAGTGCCTCCAGATCCTTCCATGCACTCGAGCTCATAGAGTTCAACAAGCTCTCCACCCTCCTCTTTAACTCCTGAAATTTTGCCTTCAGCGGCGAGACAAAATCCTCAAAACCCCTCTGTGAGCTTAAGTACTCATCTGCCAGCTTCCTCAATCTATTCTCATCCATAAGGTCCAGCAAGCACCGTCTGCCCTCACACTGAAGGTGTGGATGCAACTTAATAGCACGCAACCTCTGCACATCTCTCTCGAAGGTTGACAGAACTTCGTCGTATCCACGGTGCTGCTGAGCAAAGGACCGCATGAAATTTGAATAGCGCATTGAGGGCTTGCGGAATGCTTGCTCCAGGTTGCTCCTAGCCATGTCCAGAGCACGCTCCTGCACCTGCCACTCCCGCAGCAGCCTCCTGCACACCTCGTACTTGGCCACGCTAGATTGGTACAGCGCGTTGGCCACCTGGAAGTCATACCTGAACCTGACTTCGTAAGACACCAGCGCCTTCAAGGCCGGGTCAGCAGACACCTCCAGTGCGGTGTCCTGCGGCCGGGGCGGCGGCGGAATCGATGGCTCAGGGATGTCGATAGACTCCGGCGCCGGTGGCGGCGCGTCGGCATGGAGGCGAGCCTTGTTGTAGAGGAAGACCTCGCGGTCGTCGCGGGGGAGGTTGTAGTGGGCGAGGTGGTTGGCGCCGTCGAGGGGGATGTTGCCGCAGAGGAGGAGCTGGTCGGCGGGCGGGACGCCGCAGACGTGCTCGATGGCGCGCTGGATGGCCTCGACCCGCGTGCCGCCCCCGCACTCGAACTCCATGCTGTGGCCGTTCTCCGCCACGTGCACCATCAGCTTCTGCCCCAGCGCCGCGCCCTCCGCGCCGGCGCTGCCGCCCGCCGTCACCGCCGACCCGGAACTCATCTTCCCGGACAAGTTCCCCTCCACCAGATTTTGCTGTACTTTTTTTTCCCTGCTTTCCTTTTCTGCCTCGCGCCCCTTCAGATTAAAAATCTGCGGTTCTACCACGCCACCAAACGGCACGGAGTCGTAGCCCAGGCACCAAATCCTCAATCTCTCGGCGCCCAGTCGCGCACGAAGCCCGCGGCCTGCCTTCCCACCGATCGCGCGCACCCAATCTCCGACCCGTGCGGCGGGAAGGCGGCGGCTCCCTTGGAAATTCCGGCGAGAGACGGGGGCTCCTGGGTGGGATCGACGTGTCTCGCCCCCAATTCGGCCGGTTCACCAACCCCGCACGGATTTGGGCTGGGGATGGATAGCTTTCGGGGTTTCCCACCCTCCCTTGCGGGCGGACGGAAGCGACCTCCTCCAACCCAAATCTGAGTCCTCCCGGGGTACGACTCCGGCTCCGGCTGCGTTTGATTCGGTCGCGGAGGTTGGGGGCGGAGACGAGACGAGATGAGTTGGGATTTTCTTTCTCCCCTGCTTGGGAAGGATTGGGCAGTGGCGTCAGGAAGGAAGACGAGCAGACGAGGGAGGGGGAGAACAAAAAGGGAAAGTTTACAGGGGGCGGATGAAAGAGTGGGGTATGCTGCCGTGTGGGAGTACAATGTTGCGGGGTGTTTCGCGGAGGGGTCCTTCTCGGTTCCGCTAATTGACGTGGTGTGAATTATTGGAGGAGAGAGAGCTTTTTTTTTGCATTGGAGGAGAGAGAGCTTGCTTCTCTCGCAAGGGTAGAACCGGTGGCCGGTAGCAAGGATAGTACATTGTATATTTAATTAATATAATTATTAACAAAAAAAACGTGTCTAGATGTACGTATCTGTATATATAGATAATCTGAGTTGATTAATTCGGACCGAAGGTAATATGTAATACTCTTTGTCAGATGTATCTATAAGTATTTTTGTCACATGATCATTTTTTTCTATTTTGCCCACATGATCTTAGATTAGATGATCATGGTCAGCTCAGTTGGTCCTCACTGTGGGGAAAATTGTTAGCATGTCCTAATTTTGTTCGAAGCTACAAGCAGCATGTACATGTACATGATCTACGTGGTGTATGCGAGGTCATGTGTGAGTGTGAGTCCCTCTATTATTGTGTGATGGTATCCACGCAGATGCTACAAGTCTCACAGGGTATATCCCGTTGGAAATATTATCCTGATTAGACTAATCCATGAGTAATAAGTATGGCAAATAAGATATGCATTTTATATCGATACCTAAGCATGTGAGCACGTACAGTACATAAAACCAAAATATCTATAAACAATATATATACGACCAGCATATGAACGAGCAAGTAGGGGATGAACGAGTCATACCCTTCGGTTGCCCAGGCCAACGTGGCGGCTGTAGCCTCGGTATCGGTCGAGGCCTTCTTCTTGGCGACTTCGTCGTCAGCCATGGAGTCGATGCAGGAGAAGTAGTGGAGGCAGAGGCAGACGGAGACAGGAGCGGGTTGGGAGCAGTCGCGTCGAGACGCTCCCCAAAAACCTTATTGTCATTCTCCGGGCAGAATCTCGAACGACGGGGTTCTGGAGGCACCTGCTCTTCCAACCAACCGTGCACACGGTCGTCGGGATGGGATCGTCGGAAGCAGCACACTGAGAGGAACAGTAGATAACGGGTAGGATTGTGCAAGAAGGAAGGAGTGAACTGAGTTACGATTCACTCCACTCGCCACCGTCTGTAGATGGGCCTGGGCTCAGGCCCACAACCGAGTCCACGTATAGCCCACAGTCCAACGTCTTGGACAGTGGCGACTCGTCAATTAATTCGAGATTAATTAACCATTCCTGACCGGCAAAAATAAATTTCGGCCTAGCTCATTCCTGCAAGCCGCGGTGCACGTGTGTCGTGACGAGCCGAGGCGAGGCAGGCGGCGAAGGAGGAGGAACGCGCGTGCATAACTCCTTTTCCCAAGCTCTCAACGGCATGTGGTAGAGCAACTCTTATAAAGGGGTCTCACTCTCACTCCACTAGCAGTATACCCCCGTCTCAGAATAAGTGTCTCAACTTTGTACTAACTTTAGTACAAAGTTATACTAAGCTTGATACACTTATTTTGGAACCGAGGGAGTACTAAACTTTCCATCATTTGCCATGCACCTAAATGGACCTTATAGATTATCCAGGGATTATTGTCTTATACGGGTCTAAGCCCATCTACAATCCAACAATCCCCCACCAGATCTCAAGGCACATAAATTTGTCAGCGGTTCCAAATAATATTTGATATGCCAGAATTTTCAGTGGAGACTGTTAAGTTGAACTTCCACCTAGAGCAACATGATTAGACCTCTTCATAACTGAACAATGGACCATGCCTTGAATTGTCAGTTTGGCGTGCAGATGTTTCGCCAATTGTCGTCCAGTACGTGGCTACCGAAGGTAAATCCCACGGGTGGAGCATATTAGTCACACTCATGCCCTGTTCACGAGCTTCCTATAGATTACCCAATCTCATAGAGACGCCAGATCCGAATTAAAATACACCAATCGCATGTTTCCGAATTAAAATACACCAATCGCATGTGTAACCGTGACCGTCTGTTTTCGAGTGAGTTCAAGAAAAGAACACAGTGGGGTTATGTTTTTACTCTTGTACTCGAAGTTAGCCACCATACAATGCTTAGTACTTGTTGCAACCTCACAACTTATCCATTCCATACCCATTAAGCTTTGCTAGTCTTGATACCCATGGTAATGGGATTGCTGAGTCCTCATGACTCGCAGATTACTACAACAACAAATGCAGGTACAGGTAATGCGATGATTCGACGTGAGAGCGATGCTTGCTTGTTTTGTGGTTCTTCTTCTTCGATCAAGGGCTAGGTTCCTAGTCGGCATCCTGGACTAGCAGGGTGGATGTCGCTAGTGTTTTTCATTTGATTTCATCCGTAGTCGGATGCTGCTCTGTATGATGTTTGATGTATTAATGTGCCAATTGTATGCCTTTGTCTGTATCCCCATTTGAGTTGTATATGGTACGATGTAATGATATCCACCTTGTAAAAGCGTCTTCAATATGCGGCTCTATCCTTGGTGGGACCTTCGAGTTCCTCTCGGATAGGATCGATCGCATATTGGGCGTCACTGGTGCAGAGACCTGCTATGCAGACGGTTTTCAACCCCTTTCCGCGACGGCACTTGGAACCATCGCCAAGTGAGTGTGGGCGATAGGGGGCCCTTCCCACGCGACCCATAAACCGTCGGGGATAGGCCCTCCTGGCACACAAAATGAGTTCGTGTGCGATCTGGCGAGGCATCGAAACCCAATCATTTCCGTTTGTATGTACATCCCACACGGCGAATCCCAGAAAAACATTTTCGTTCGTATGTATATCGCACACAGTTTTTTGTGTAGAAATATTTATGCAAGGTGGCCTAACGCAAACAGTTCTCTGCCGGAAGCCGTGTGTGATTGTTAATTGATCAAACACGCCTACTTTCTAGGAACTGTGTGGGTTGTTAGAGTTCATCGTCCACGGTGTTGTCTGAGTAACTGTCTGCAATAGAAAACCCCAATAAGCAGGGTAATTACCCTATTATTGATAATCAGTGTAGTAATCAAATTGATATTTCTCATAAAACACACTAGATATTTCATATCCGTATAACTGCAACCCGGATTTCATAATCGAATTACATCAGATAGCTTCGGCACTCGGTTATGCCATTACACAATAGCACCAGGTTTCACATGAAACATCGAAAACCTTTGGAAAGTAGCATCATACACGATAAATAGACAGATGAATCTCATCTGGGAAACTGCAGAAACGGAAGGCAAATATTGAGCCTTCAGTGATGTTGAATGTCCTTGCGACTTTAGGCCAGTGGCTATGGATAATTGTCCGCCCAACCTTCATCCTCTTCAGGAAGACTTCAATATTGTACCATGGGTGTTGAATGAATACCTTCCTCGCCTCTTGACCATGCAGGTGGTTTGAGAGGTAATCATCGGTGAACTACTTTGAAAAGTACTAAAAACAAAGATATGCATAAACCGCTGTTATAGATTTTGAAATGGCGCAAGGGGTAAAAACAAGGTAAAAGAGTTAGTACCATCCTATAGTTGACTGATGTCTTCTTCATTGTGCAAACAAAGATCTTGTTGTTATTTGTCAAAAGTTTCTTCGTACTAACAATCTTCTGAGTTTCTTGACTTGACTAATGATACGTCTCCGTCGTATCTATAATTTTTTATTGTTCCATGCCAATATTATACAATTTTCATATACTTTTGGCAACTTTTTATACTATTTTTGGGACTAACATATTGATCCAGTGCCCAGTGCCAGTTCCTGTGCCATGGGAGCCAAGGACCAAAGGGGAAACCCTTCTCCCATCTAGGGAGAAGGTCGAGGAAGAAGAAGAAGGGGCCCCTCTCCCCCTCTCTCTCAGTGGCGCCGGAACACCGCCGGGACCATCATCGTGTGACAGCGATCTACACCAACACCTCCGTCATATTCACCAACATCTTCATCACCTTACCCCATCTATCTATAGCGGCCCACTCTCCCGCAACCCATTGTACCCTCTAGTTGAACATGGTGCTTTATGCTTCATATTATTATCCAATGATGTGTTGCCATCCTATGATGTCTGAGTAGATTTTCGTTGTCCCATCGGTAATTGGTGAATTGCTATGATTGGTTTAATTTGCTTGTGGTTATGTTGCTATCCTTTGGCGCCCATCATATGAGCGCGCGTGTGGATCACACCATAGGGTTAGTTGTATGTTGATAGGACTATGTATTGGAGGGCAAGAATGATAGAAGCTTCAACCTAGCATAGAAATTGATGCATACGGGATTGAAGGGGGACCAATATATCTTAATGCTATGGTTGGGTTTTACCTTAATGAACGTTAATAGTTGCGGATGCTTGCTAATAGTTCCAATCATAAGTGCATAGAATTCCAAGTCAGAGATGACATGCTAGCAGTAGCCT